AAAGGAACCTGGGGGGGGGGGGGGGAGGCTTTGTGGAGTGGGAGGTCCCTGTCAGGCCTTACTCCTCTCCGGAAGTGCCTGGGGGCTCTTGAGAGGGCTTTGCCTGTGGAAAAGGGGGGGAGGGGAAGACGCCCCGTGGGGCCCAGGGATTGTGCGCAGAGCCAGGCCCGGCCGCTCTTTCACCTGGGGCTAACCCTGGCTTTGCACCCCAGAGTGCTTGCCCTCCTCGGCCTAGATGGGCCCTTTGGCTGTGCAGCTGGGGCACAGAAGCTGCTTCTCCTGGGGAGTCGGAAAAGCCCCCCTCCCCGTGGGCGGCTCCAGGTGGGCTGTGGGCCCTGAGAAAGATCCCCCATGCGGGGGGCAAAGGGGGCAAAGGGATTTAGTCAGGATTGGACGGTGGTTGAAAGGGGTTTTGAAGGGAGTCAGCGGCCACAACTGGGACCTGTCATTAAGTGAAGCGGTGGCTAACTGAAACCGTGACTGTCCCTTGTGGACCTGATTGCAGCCTTCCTCTGTTCTGCAGAAGCCTGCAGCTCTGTGGGGATTTGAGGGGAGCGCCTGAGAGAGAAAGGCTCCAGGGGAGACCCAGCTGAGTCTCCAGGGCGGCTTTTCCTGTGGTGTGGTGGAAAAGACAGAGCCGCTTGGGAACCCCGTTTCCTCAGACCCCCCCCCTCCCTCCCTCCCTCCACGTGGCTTCCAGAGACAGGCGGGGGGCTTTAGCCAGCAGCTTCCTTAGCCTTCAACAATGCACAGGATGGCGACCCCGGAGTCGAGGGCAGTTGGCTGCCACTGGATGTCCAGAGCCCCGCTTGGCCCGGCTTCCCTTCTGCAGAGGGGCTTCCTCGAGTTAGTTTTGGGCAGCCCGGCCAAGCAAGGGCACTGCCAGAGCGGGGGATGGTGGTCGGGCCCTCAGAGGGATATGCTCGGCCTGAAGGAAGGGAAGGCCAAGGGCTGCCCGTGGGCCACCTGAAAATGCTCTTCAAACGTCCTCCACGCACGGAAGGCAGAAGAGGCTTGTTCTCCGTGGCCTCCAAAGGCGGGACCTGAACCCAGAGCTTGGAAATGAGGGGAGTGGATTCAGGTTTAGATGGACGTTAGGGAGGAGGAGGAGGAGGAGATGGTCCTGCACAGAGCAGGAGGCTAGCTTCCCTTCTAGCTTTAAAATCAGAGATGGCGATTGTGTTACCAGGATACGAATTGAAGGCTGTTTTTAGAAGTGTCTTTCTGGACAAAACCCCAGACCGAGAGGGTCTGCAAGAGGAGAAGCCTTCTTAGGATGACACACACACTCACACACGCTCACACTCACACACTCACACACGCTGGCAAGGCCCTTTTGGCTGGCCTTGAAAGATAGTGGGGACACTGCCCACCTCCCTTCTGAGCTCTTGGTGCCCTGCTCCTTGGCCAGGCAGACAGACAGGGAAGAGGAGCCAGACGCCAAGATGACCCAGGGACGCAGAGACTTGAGCGGATCCTGGATCCGCTCTAAGCACCACCATAGCGGTGACCTTCCCGCCACGTGGCAGGTGAGATCCAGGTCTCCCTTCCTGTTCCCCTCCAGAAGCCCTATGGGCAGCCCCCTGACTGACTCACCAGAGGTAGGAGGCGGCCTGTGTCCACGGAGCGTAGTTCTGTCGGTACAGCAGGACCCCATGGAGGACGAGCAGCGAGAGTTGCTTCTCTGTGTCCAGGTTCTGGACCTGTCCCTGCAGCCACTGGTGAGTGCGGGCCAGGATGCCTTTTAGCTCCAGGGGCATCTCGCAGAAGAAGGTGGTGGCATTGCGGTGCACGGGCCCTGGGCACGTGGAGGAACAGAAGGGCTGATGGGGCAGGGGATCAGTTGGGGCGCTCGGCTCTTGCGGTCCACATCCTTTCCCCTTTCGTCTCTGGGGGAGCGCCTATTGCCCTGGCCCCTTCAGAGGAACAGCTATACCTGGCACAGAGTTGCGGGCATCGAGTGTTGTGATGAGCCAGAGCCGGAACTTGGGGTTGACTTCCAGGGGCCCCGCTCTGCTCAGTCCTGCGCCGGAGAAGAAGAGGGAGTAAGGAAGCGTCCTCCTGCGCTCGCCGTAAATGAACCTCCTCAGCCCTTCCCGCCTCTGACCTGCTGTGGTAGTCAGTACCAAGTCCAACTGCAGCAGAACCTCAGGGTCCCAGCTGTCCAACAGCTGGCAGTTGTCCAGGACCAGCCACTTCCCCTTCTTGGTGCAAAGGGGCAGCGTTTTCTGGACACGCTGGGAGGCATCTGGGGTACCAAAGGAGATGACGACCACTGTCCCCTGCAGGGCAAAACAGCCAGTGAGGGGCATGGAGATCCCTTTGGGGCTGCCCGCCCCTTCCCTCTCTTTCCTGCCAGGCTCCACTCACCCGCCGTCCCCGCTGGGCTGCCATCTGCTGGATCCAGAGCAAAGGATGCGTAAAGGAAACCTGCGATCTGGCCGGGGCCCTGACCAATATGATTGGCTTGTTGGCGCGGCTATAGGAGTAGGGATTGATGGCTGCCATTTTTTCAGTGAAAGACCAGCCCAATAAGCAGGTGGTAAGATCGGAGACCAACTGGCACAAGGCCCCGGGACATAGAATGCGCCAAAGGATGGCACGCTGGAAAGGGCCGAGGTGTGCATGGCTGGGGCACAGAGCCGGCCCCACCACCGTGGAGGGCAGAGAGAAGTACTCCTGCCACTGCACCGCCTTCTCGGCCAGAGAGGCCGGCAGTCCATGGAAGCCAGGAAGGTTCTCCAGCAAGAGGCATTCCTCCCAAGCCTCCTCACTCACCCAGTCGGGGCAGGGCGAGCCGGGTTCCAGGGGCAGGAGGAGGGCCTTGGCAGCGGGGTCTTGCAGGCCGTGGGTGAAGGCCAGCCACTCCAGAGGGCTGACGTCCCCCGCCACTCTCAGCATGGCCACGGCTCCCAGGAAGAAGTAGAGCGGGCGGTGTGCCTCCTGCAGGCAGGGCAGCGCCTGGGTGAGCAGCTGCCAGAGCACCATCCTGCTGAGCTCCAGCAGCCGGGCCTCCAGGGACTCCTGCTTGCTGGCCTCCTGGCGCTTGCCTGTGATCAGGGCTTGCCGCACGCGGCTGATGCAGAATTCGGTGGGGAAGCGGTAGAGTGGGTGAAGGCGGCCCACTTGCTGCAGCGCCTCGTGCAGCCCCACTGCCAGGCAGGCCACCGGCCGATACCTGCCACACAGCACAGCCTGGTCCTGGTACTGGGAGACCATGTTCCTGTGCGTGGCGTGCAGCGCCTGGATCTGGGTCTGGAGGAGATGCACAATCGGCATGAAGTTCTCTTCCTCCAGGAGCGACCGCTGCGGCTGTGAAATCAGGTCCATCAGCTCCTCCTGCAGGGAAGGCGGGCAGAACGGGGAGGAGGAGGACATCGAGGGGTTGGCCCAAAGGACTGACCAGGCTGGACCCCAGAGGGGAAAGGGCTGGGATTAAGAAGCGTCCCTTCTCCGTGCCGCCTGCCCCCTGTTCCCCGCTCAGCCTCCCAGAGAGGCCATCGAGGTCCGTTCTAAAGCCAGTTGCCAGGCGGGAGGTGGCCGGGAGCCTCTGGCTGGCGCGTCCTGGCTGGGGAGAGGTTGGTGGCTTTATGGTCATGGTGAGCCAGCCAGCCAGCACCGTGTTTGAAGAAGGGTAGCCATACAAGTCTCAAAGATAGGCTTCCACCCAGGGAATCACCTCCGTGGCCTCCAGCTTGCCTTCCAGCTGCAAGATCCCGAGATACAAGATCTGCTGGTTCTTCCGGATCTCCGGGCGCTCCACGTGCAGCACTTCGCCCAGGAGCCGGTCCTCCAGGGCCTCCCGGCTGAGGCTGAGGTCGATGAGGTTCAGCCTCTTCAGCAGCGAATGGTCAGCCTCTGCGAAACGGAAGAGAAAGACGGGAGGGGTGGCCCACCAACCCCCCCCCACTCTCCCCCCTTTTTGGTACTGTTGGTCTTGGGGTCTTCACCTCATTTTTCAGGATTTCCCAATTCTCCTTCAGAATTTCCATCCATGGAAGGTGATTTCCAACCTTCCCCCAGTTTATGAGATAAATTCTCTTGAAAAGTTGAAATGTGACTCCCATCAGTCTACTGGAATACAGGGAATCCCAGGAGCCACTTTTCCCCCGGGCCCTCCCCCACCCCCGCCCCATTCCCTCCCTCCCCCCTATCAGGGATAGGAAGGGGCCAGTCCCAGGCTTCCCGATTCACCTCATGGGAAAGCCCGCAGTCTGCTGACCCACCGGATCTCCCGCTGTGCTGCAGTTTGATTCAGAGCTGATGGTCAGAGCTGAAATCCCCTCTCCCCTCCCCCCCCCTCCCCAAGGGGCTTCTTGGATGCTTGTGAGATATTTGCAAAAATGCCTCAACCGGGTCACCCTTATTCCTTTTTCCTTTAATGTTTACCCTTCCTCCTTTCCCTTTCTTCTTCCCTTACCTCTCCCCTCCTCCTCCTCCTCCTCCTCTCTTCCTCTTCCCCTTTCTACCCCTTCTCCTTCTTTCTTCCATCTTCCTCTCCTCCTCTCTATCTTCCTTCCCTCCTCTTCCTCTCCTCTCCTCCTTTCTCTCCCTCCCTCCCTTCTCTACTTTCTTCTTTCCTCCTCTCCTTTCCCTTCCTTTTACCCTTACCTCTCCCCTACTTCTCTCTACCCCTTCCTACCCTCTCTCCTTCTCTCCTTCTCCCTTCCACCTTCCTCTCCTCTCCTCACCTCTCCCTTCCTTCCCTCCTTTTCCTCCCATTTCCTCTCTTCCTTTCATTTTCTATTGTTGCAGGTGTCTCTCTCCCACCTCTTAATTTATATTTTCTTGGGATGGTATTTCCGCAAACCCAAAAATCGTCAAATATCACTTCTTGTTCCTTTTCCTTCTCTCTCTCTCTCTTTTTTTAAAAAAAGAATATTTTTCTTTTTGGGACAAAGACAGACAACTCATAACACACGGAACCCTCTTCAATCACGTACAGCATGTCGTTTGGTTGCAGGGTTTTTGCGCATCCTTTCCATAGTCCCCACTTTCAATTGTATATAAAGTCACAGATTATCCATCTAGTATTTATGTATACGTTATCCAGATGCTTCTGACACGAGCGGTCACCAAATCCCATCCTGGGCAGGGGATCATTATGGATCGATCCTTCTTAACATCAAATCATTCTTGGCATAATGCGAATGTTCTATCAAGAACGATCCCTTTCGGGGAAGAGCGGGGGGGTCTGGTTTTTCTAAATAAATTACACCTTTCCAGCAGTATATACTTCCACACCCTTCAGGGGTGGGGGGGAGCCCCTTTCCCTCTCTGCACAGGCCTCCTCGTGGTGGACTGAACCTCTATGCCCACCACCCATTTCTGGCTACTTCTGTCGTTCTCCTCTTTTACACAGCGGCTGGACTCCCAAATGGGACACTGGGCCGTGTATAAGAAAAACAAGCTGTTAAAAATATTGAAAAATATTCCATAATAAAAACAAACAGGGAAATCCTTTACGCAACTATCCATCTTCTCATCCACACCTAAGCCTGCCCAAATTCTGGGACAGCAATTTGGGTGATCTTGGTGGGTTCCTTTCTTACCTGCAACCAAGGATTGAAGAGGCAGCTCGGTGCACAGATACAGGGAGAAAGAGGGCGGGATGGACAGGTGCTCGGCTTCTGCTCCATCCTCCTCGGAGGCAGGGAAGAAAATTTTGCCCTCTGGGCAGCCCCTAAAGGATTCCTTCTCTATCAGCTGCTGGAGGGCCGGACACCAGGGAACGTCCTTCTCGAAGTCCGTCAGAAGGACAGGGCTGCCTGCGAGGAGGAGGAGGAGGAGGAGGAGGAGGAGGCGCTCAGGGTCGCCCTGTCCGCCTCTGTCTGCCGAACTTGCCCCAGGCGCCACGAATCTTGTCCCGGGTCTTGCTCACCAAACTTGATGGCTGCCTTGAGGCTCTCCTCGAGGTCAGGGCTGGTCAGGGACAGGATCTCCAGGTTGTCCTCTGGGATCTCATCGCCGCCCCCTTGCTCCACCATGTCCGGCATCAGATCAGACAGGACCCGGGCCTGGGACTCCTCTGCAAGGGAGAGGCCGATGAGCACCGAGTCTGGGAAGGCCGTGCCGGAGGGGGAGGGGGGGCTCCCCTCATTCGCTCACCTGCTTCTAAAGAGGAAGTCATCAGCAGCCACGTCTGGGCCTGCTTGTCCGGATCCACCAAGAGAGGCCACCGGTGGGCCTGCAGGTGGACGCTGGAATGAATGATCATGGCAACGAGGCGGCTCTCAGCATCCTTCGGCTTGTAGAGCCGATCCCAGAGGCGCTGCTGCTGAGTCGAGCTGAGCAAAGCGGCCACCTTCAGCGGCTTCTGCAGCGGGAGCAGGGGCGGGCCGGAGGGTGCCTGGCCCGGGCAGGACAATTCCTTCTGCAGGAGCCAGCTGACGTCACAGGGGCCCAGAAGAACCTGGGATCCTTCGCACACGGCCTCCCACTTCTCCAGCAGCTCTTTCCGCCGTGGTGGAGCAAAGGGACCCAGGTACGAGATGATAGCCGAGCAGAGAAGGGCATTGCCGTGCACCGTTCTCTGCTGGCACTCCAGGTCCTGGGAGAGGAGAGGAGAGGCTAGAAGGCGGCCCTCTCCAGGAGAAGGCAGAGCCTCCGGCCTCAGCCGTTACCTTGGCTACGGCCGTCCAGCTGGCCAGATGCTCAGCCACAGAGCTCTCCACTGTGCTGGCCTCCTCTTTGGCCTGCAAGGATTGCGTGAGCTGCTGAAGCAGCTTCTCCTGGTGCTCCTGCTTCTGCCTCAGCTCCCTGAGGCGGGCCTGGGTGGTGTCCCGCAGGTACTCCGAGTGTAGGCGCCGGTCACCCAGGCCGACTTTCTCCACGTTGATCTGGTCCTCGCAGGACTGCAGCTCCAGCATGGCCGGCTGCCACTCCTGCAGCGCCCACCGGTACCAGTAGACGGAGCAGATCCATTGATACAGAGCTGCGGCCGCTTGGCTGGCATTCTGGATGGCAGCCACAGACAAACCCTCCTGGTCAACCACTTCACCCAGAGCCTGGAAGAGCTCCGCGCCGAGAGTCTCCTTGGGGTAAAAGACCAGATCCTGGAAGGGAGAGAGGTCTGGGAGAACAAGTCGAGCCTTTCTGCTGGCCGCCCTGGGTGAGCCTGGGGTTTCCCTGGGCCCCGACGAAGTCAGAAAGGAGGTGACCCCTCCCAACATGGCAGAGAGGCCTCGGGGCCCCCTCTATGGCCCTGCCTGGCTCGGAGGCAGGCCACTCCTTGCCCCAGGCATGGGGAAGAGGCCATCACACCTCTGGGGCTGGGCTCCCTGGGCCAGAGTGGAAGCAGTGAGCCCATTTCATTGGCAGAAAGGCTGCAGCTTTTCCAGGGCCTGCAGAAGGACGACTGTTGTGCTGTTGGTGACATATGTGCTTGGGCCAGATGTTGATAGAGATGATAAAATGAGGGAGAGAAAATGATAGATTGTAGAAAATTAGATAGATGATAGATGGGTAATAGGATTTCAGTAGCCAACCAACTTGAACTGTTAAAAAAGAAGAGATACAAACAGCCACCTCTAGTGATCCCTCCTGGGCAGCCTCTTCCGAGAAGGCAGCTGTCATCTCAGCCTCGGCGCCTTTTAGAGCAGGATCAGAATAACCAAGTAAATCTAGCTGGCTTCTCACTGTCCCCATAGTTGCCGTGGGTCGCACCTTCTCCCTTTGCTTTGGGTCCCCTGTGGCAAAATAGCCTTGTGGTGTCACCGGAGGGGACGGGAATCCCCTCTAGAGAACAAGCATGGTGTGTCTGGTGTTGACCATGAGAAATTGAGGATGGCTAGCCAATCGGCCCTTAGGCTGTACATATTCGCTTTGTGGCACAGATTTATCCAGCTGAGTTGGATTCTAAATGCTTTTTCATGTGTGCGATTCATTGAGACTTATCCAGTGCCAGAGCCGGTGGGAGCAAAGGAAGGAGAGAGGCTGGACAGGAGGAATGAGGGGCCAGCCAGCGGAAGAGGACGGTGGGGAAGGGAGCCATGCCTCCTTTGTGGGAGACCTTCACAGAGGGGAGGGCTACTGTGGGGGTCTCCCTTGAGCAGAGCTCATTCTCCTCTACGATTCTGATGTATGTATGGCCGCTCTCTAATGGGGCTGCTGGCTTGAAAGTCAGCCTGCGCCTCGTGGTTGAAGGGCCAGAAGCCACATGGAGAGTCCCGAGCACTGACACCAACTGGGTGCTTGCCCCCCACCCCACCCTTGTTTTCAGCCCAGCCCTCCTCACTAGATTATTGTGGCTATGTAATAAAGGGAGCAAATCTAACAAGTAATCAAGAAATAAACTGCAATTTGCTTTCTCCGAAGAAAGTTCTTGTGAGAATCAGAAAGGACCAAGAAGGGCAAAGCTGCACACACCGGAAGGGAGGGAGGGAGGGAGGGAGGGAGGGAGGGAGGAAGGAAGGAAGGAAGGAAGGAAGGAAGGAAGGAAGGAAGGAAGTCTGCACGTTTCTCTGGGCAACTTACAGCATCAGCCAGGGCAGGATGGAAAGGGGGGGTCCAGGAGGGGGGGTCTCACCTGGTAGAAATCCTCCCTGTTGAGCAGAAGCTTGGCGCTCTCCCACCCGGGCTCCACCTGGAACATCAGGCAGAGGGGGTCGGTCACCTGGACCACCAAAGCGGGGGGTTGCCGGTAGCTCCGCAGCTCCTCGATGTCCTGCACTCGCAGTGCGGCCAGGGCAGCTTTGTAGTCCTGACTCACCTGGAAAGAAGTGGGAAGTAGATGGAAGGAGGAGCCACATTGCGATGTCACAACGTGTGGCCTTGATACTCCGAGACCACCGTTGACACTTTTGCCGCTGGATGGTCCATTGAGACCTAAACCATCCCGTAGAGACGGTGATCAGGAAGACAAAGCCTTGCTGGTCTCAGGGATATAGCAAAATCCCTGATAGACCCAAAGAAAGTGCTTCAAGCCGGCACTAAACAGGCAGCCCCCAGGCTGATGAAATCAGAATGCTCTGGAATTAGTAATTAGTAATTTAATAAATTTATATGCCGCCCAATCCCGTAGGACTCTGGGCGGCTTACAAAAACAAGATAAAAGTAAAAAAAAGAAAGATAAACAATTTAAAAACAACACACCATACATTCC